CGCCTTGTAAGGGGACGGAGAGATAATTGGGGGGGCGCGAAGGCAGGGATCGAGGGGGCGGGAAGGAGCCTGGGGGTCGTGGAGGGTTGCATGAGACGGCGTGCAAGCGAGACGGAGGAAGTTGATGGGATGGTCCTGGTGAGGGAGTTTGCGGGTGGGGGGGGTAGGTCTTGTGGCTTTGAGCAGCTCCTCCAAAGAGGACGTGGCTTAAGTGGTAATTGGGGGGTCGCAGGAAACGGGGCTGGGAGGGCGAGAGGCAAGGAGGCGGGATTGAGAGGCCTAGGCTAGGGGAGAGGGGCAAGACCGGTGGGGGGTGGTACAGCCAGGGTGCAATCGAGGGCAGGGGTACAAGACAGCCTGGGGGCGTCTGCCCACGGCTTAAGGGGTGGAGTGCCTGAGGCAGGGCGGCGCCTGGGACTCAGTGGGTGTTCATAAGTGAGAGCGGTTCTGAACCTACTGGTATGGTGGCCCGCCTAATTGGGAGAAATGGGGGATGGAAGGGGGCAAAAGGGGTAGAAGCCATGGCAAAAACTGAGGGCTCATTCAGGCAGGGCCTGGCTGGGGAAGAGGCGAGGAAAGGAAGGAACTATTGTGGCCCCATTCAGACTCGGGTGCAGCCCGTGGAGATTCGAGGGGCCCCTCTTGATTCTTCTTCCCGATTTCATGCCCAATCGCTGGGTGACTCTGGGCGAGTCCTAGCGCCCTCAGGGCTGGGATTCCGGGATTCCGGACTGGAAAATCACACCACTCTCCTAAGGCTGGGCTGGCTGGAGCCCGGGAGTCCCAGGGAGCAAGGAAGCAGCCTGTGGGCCCTCCGTGGGGCCGGAACTGGGTTTCAGAGGGGAGGGAGTGGGTGTGCATGCACCCTTGTATGCTAGGCTGTCACCACCTCCTCAGAGTTGCATCCTTGGACTTAAATGGGTAAAACGACATACAGGAAATCTTTCCCCCTGCGGCTATGAGCTCAACTCCGAGAGGCAGCCCTTGTGCCCTGCTTTCTCTCCTTGGTGCCCTGTAGGTCAGGGATCTCTAAGGGAAAGCCTCTTCCGAACTTATTGTCTGAGGTGGGAGTTGGTGTGGACATTGGGCCTTACTGTTGAAGGATCCTAGCTCCTACCTTGCGGAGGTGTGTTCTGGTCTTGGAGTCTCCAAATTCAAGGCATCCAGGAGCAGTGGGAGGTGACATGGGCAGCTGAAAAGTTGTTTCACTGTGTGATGGGCCTGGCTCTGGTGAGGGCCTCGCACTGGGCTATTTCATCAGCATTAATTTCTTTCCCTGCTGTGGGGGTCCTTGTCTGCGATCTGCCAGAGGGCTGGAGAGCCTGGGTTTATATTTCATGCAGGAAATGAACCTGGATCACTTGAATTTAAGGGCCACAGAGAGGTAACCATACCCTTCACTTCTAGAATGTTCTGGCCCTTATGGAAGGTGGCTCCAGGAAACCCAATCAGAGCCCACAGTCATGCCCCCTGCAGACAATGGGCTTGGGCTTGCCCTGGCCAGGACAGCCGCTGATAAACAGGACCAGAATCTTCTGGTTGTGTGGTCCTGGCTGTCTTCTCCCTGCAGCAGGAGCATGGCCAGGTGGACTCTCGTGGAAGGTCCCGTTTTGGGGGTTCTGACCCCTGTCAAGTTTCCTTGTCTGTTTCTTCACCTGCAAAATGGATAGATTGGCCTCAATCAGCATTTCTCAACTTTAAAATCCAACCCCTCTTGATAACTTTGGCATCTCCAGCACACAGCCCACAGCACACAGGTGAACCTCTCCCTGCTGCAGTGTTCCCAGTTTGGTTCAACTTTCCATTCTACAGTTTATATCCAAAAATGATTTTTTTACTGTTGTTTCATGTTCCAAACGAAGTTACAATGCCAAAAGTGCTTTGCACATTGCACCTGTTTCCAAAGCTCTGACTGCATCCTGTGGTTGGAAATTCCTGGATGAGACTCTCCCTCAGGTCCTGGCCTGTGACTTGGAGAAGTAGGTGGAAATGTGGGAATCTCCCCTTTCTATTTGGCTGTAGGATCCATTTTCTGTCCCCAACAGGGGCTTGTTAACTTGCCACTTCCCTCTCCTAGTCTCCTCAAAGTCCTGTGTCTTGGGTGGACCCCGTATTCCATTAAGCCAGGGCTGATCGTGCTAAGGGCTGGTTGTGCTAAGGGCTGGTTCCAGGGGACAGAGATAAACCCCTGTGCCCTGGAGGAGGGACATTCTAGTGCCCCCCACCATGGAAATAATGGAATGAGGGTTGACCGATACAAGCTTTGGGACTTGTGAGTTCCTGCAGTTTTCCTCAGAAGAGGTGGCTGGGCCCAAGCCAAGCTTGAAGGATCCGGAGGTGTGCAACCAAGCCGGGAAGAGGGCTTTGTACCAGCAGATCCCTGCGCAGCTCTGCCCCTTATTGAGCACCTTCTCTGATAGACACTTCTATACTCAACTCTTTTGTTCTGCCAACCAGCAGCAAGGAGGTCCTGGTTTCTATTTTCCCAATATGGAAACTGAGGCTCAGGGAGGTGATGACTTCAGAGGTGGTTCTCTGGGTATTCTAGAAACTCAAAGGATCCTTAGTAACCTCAAATGGGTGAAGACCAAATCTCTAGAGCAGAGCTACTCAGCTGTAGCACCATTGACATTTGGTACTAGGTCATTCTTTGCAGGGGGGTTGGAATGTCTTGTATATATCGGATGTTGAGCAGCCTCCCGGGCCTCCATCCACCATATTCTAATAGTACCCACCCCCCAAATCATGACTACCAAAAATGTCTCCAGTCATGGTTTTGTGTCTCCTGGGGGCAGAATTGCCCCCAGCAAGAACCTCCGCTCTATAGTAAAATCTGGCTCCTGCCCCCGTCCCACCATTGCCTCAGTGGTGTAAGTTGAGCTCCTCATGAGCTGCTGCCAAGAGCAGGCATGGGGAAAAAAGGCCAGCAGCTGAATTCTGCCATCCGGTCAGTTCTTAATCTAGAGTCCTGATAAAAAAGGAGGCACCACTGCGAATAGACCAAGGGGGAGCTGGACGATGCATCCTGAGAATGGACAGCAGAGGAGGAACAGGAGATGAGCAGGGGCTATTTGCACTCACTTGGACAGCAGTGCCATTGTCTTTCTCTTCTTTGTCTTACCACTGACCTGAATTTCTGCAGGAACCGTCCTTGTCTTGGCACAAATTGTTGCTTTTCTTCTGAGATTAGAGGTATTCAATTCTCTTCTCAAGAGCTACTTTGGAGGTGGCCCCGGATCAACATGGCTCTTGAAGCCGCTTTATCTTCTCCCGGTGGCCCTCTTGGCTCCAGATGCCAGTCCATCCTCAGGACAAAAAAAAATATTTAGACAGATTGTCTAACTTTTGAGCCTCATGCGTGCTTCTCTGCTTGTTCCACGACTGTGACATTGCTGTTTTAACTTCATGGGAGGAAACTCACATTCTGGGGCCTTCCAACCCCTTGAAGGCGCTGTCCCTCCTCCCCCCGCTTCTCATCCACCAGCCCTTTGTGCATCCCCAAGTCCCCAACCAACTGTGCCAGGCAGCCCCTGCTCGGCCTCCCTGCAGAGCAAGACAGGCCCGTCTCTCTGGCCTCATCCTGGATGGAGAGAGTTGCAGAACAAAGGGCTCTGTCTGAGCACTGCCAGGCCCCTGAAGAGCCAGCCTGCTGCCGGCCGCTACACAGAGCCCTGTCACTTCACCTCTGCTGTTTTCATTTTTGGCCCAGAAGGGGCCTCAGAGATTAGGCTCCCAGAAATGCAGTGATGAGTTAGGGTTCTACTCATTTCCTTGTCAAGAATTTCTGAGCCAGATCCCGATGATAAATAAAGTTAGTGATTCAAGTGTTCGGCCTGTGGGTTAGTTGGAGTGATGAATAAGCTGTCCTGGTCTGACTCATTCGTTTATATCCCAGCTCTGCCCTGCTTCACGATACTGTATGTGTGAAGGGGAACCCAGCCACAGGCATTTCAGTGCTGTCACTGCTGGGTGTGCGAGTTTCCCGGGGCTGCTGTAACAAAGTACCCCAGACCAGGCACCTTAAGCAACAGAAATTGTCTCACAGAGATAGAGGCCAGAAGTCCAAGATCAGGGTGTCAGCAGGGTTGCTTTCTCCTGAGGCCTCTCTCCTTGTTTTGTGGACGGCCATCTTCTTCCTGTGTCTCCACACTGTCCTCCCTCTCCAGGTCCAGGTTTCCTCTTGTAAGGACACCAGTCCTGTTGGATCAGGGCCCACCCTAATAACCTCCTTTTAACTTAATCACCTCTTTAAAGGCTCTGTCTCTAAATATAGTCACATTCTGAGGTCTTGGGGGTTAGGACTTCAACATGATGAACTGGAGGGGTGGGCACCCACAATTCAGCCAATAACACAGGGTAAAGGGCAAATATTTTTATTTAGTAAAAGGAGTTTGGACAAATAGTCATGCCAATAGAGTGAGTTCATTTGTTTTATCTCACTTAGGTAAACATTTTAGGGGAGGTGGGCAGGCCAGCCACATCAACTTTGGAAGCTCCCTGTTAGGGAATTTTCCAGATCTTGCACACATCCTTACACTTGGAGTGACTGTAGAGAG